ATTCACATGTTCTTGATGTCAGCTGCTCTGCATTACAGTTAATACTTTCCTCCCTACTTTTAAGCTGTGAACTTTATTTTTCCCCCCAAAAGGTGTTATCTAGAAACAAAGCTTTATTACTTCTCAATCTTCAATGTCAGGTGGGCAAATTTTATAGCTTGATATTTATTACCTTTGGTCAATTCAGAACTTTATGATACAAGTTGTTTTGTTAAAATAATCTTTTAGGGCTTGCTGTTACTTAGCAGTTGTTCAGTCTATTACCAAGGTAGTTCTCTGGAAGAATTTAAGAAGAAAGAAATAAAAATCAATTCTTGAGAAACCAGATGATATTTCAAGGTGATCTGTAATCAGAACATTTTAATTAAAGAAAATTAAAGGCCATCATTTCAGCCTATTAGAGTTTGCCAGCTCCATTTAGTCACTGAGTTTGCCCCAGTTTCCTGTACCCTAATTTAAGCTGCCTACTGGTTTATGTAATGGTGTTGAGGTTAAGGAATGTGATTTTTTTTTTTTTTAAATTCCATAAGGCTTTGTTCCTAAATAACTGAAAAGTGATGTGAACTAGATAGGAAACCTGCTGACTTTAGAAAAATCTTAGGGTATGTTAGAACATCTTTTAGCCAGTGTGAGTTAGGACCATCACATACTATTTCTAGGAGATAAATTTCATGCTAATAAAAGGCTAGTGGCAAGTCCTTTGCCTTAAGCCTCTACTAAGACATTTGTCTTTACCCTAGAATGAATCTAGTAATTTTGTAGATGTCATCAAAGGACAAAAGAAACGGTTTTTCAGTGATTGCAGTTCCTTAACTCAACATAGTAGAGGCAATTTAAACAGTTTTACTCCCGGGTATATTTTGGAGGTGTGGATTGTTCTGGAGTCTTTCGGAAAACATGATAGAGTTCGTAATTCATTTTGAGAAGCTCTCCATGAAGATTTTTTTTTTTAACCAATCCCCTAATAAGAATTTTATGATCTCCATTTAAGCTGTTTTACGATCTGAGACTGTGCTTCTTAAATTGAAAACAATTTTTGAGGGACATTTTTAATATTTTAGGAGAAAATAAAAAGATCATAATCTATTTTTCTAGGAAGTAAGGTGGTTGGACAAATGTGTGCCACATCTTGTAAGCCCTAATAAATTGAGTTGTTTGGCTTAGGCTGGTAACCTGGTCTCTTCCCTTGCCTGAGCATGGAGATGATGAAATCTGTGATGATTGTTCCATGCTAAACCATGGTGCCTATTTTTTGCTGTCCTCAGCTGGCTTCACATACACTGAAATATTTCACCCAATCTAATTCTCACCTTCTCCCTTAAGAATTACATGGTTTTTGTTTTGTTTGCTTGTTTTTTGGATTTTTAAAAGACAGGTCTTGCTGTGCAGTACAAACCAGTCTTAAACTCGCTATGTAGCCCAGGCTGGCTCAAACTTACAGCAGTCATTCTGCCTCAGCCTCCCAGGTGCTGGGTCTATAGGTGTGTGCCACCATGTCTGGCCTTAGAATTAAACTTAAGTAAGCAAATCTAAAAACTCATTTTGTCCAGATTCACCAGGGGGAAATTCTGTTTCTTTGGGTTGGGTGTTTTTGTTTTAAAGAAGTTCAATGTGGTCTGCAACTTTATTCATAGGAGTGAAATCCACGTTAGGATTTTTACATCATTTTCGAAGGTGAAAGTCTGTTATTCCTGCAGTGTACCTTTTTGGGTTTTTTTGTTTTGAGGGGGGCTTTTTTTTGGCACCAGGGACTCACAACCTCACGCTTTGCCAGGCAGGTGCTTATGCCACTGAGCTAAATCCCTAGCCCTGCAGTGTACCTTTTTGAACTTTCTTTTTGCTGTTAAAAGTTGTCACTAAGCCGAGTGTGGTGGCACACGCTCGTAGACTTGTAGTCCCAGCACTGTGGAGGAGGATCATTGCAAGTTGGAGACTAGCCTTGGTTACAAAGTGAGACCAAGGCCAGCCTACACTGCATATCATGACCCTGTCTGGAAAAGACCAAAAAAAAAAAAAAAAAAAAAGCTGTCACTATGCTTTTTGGGGCTGCAGAGTAGGAAGTGAAGCTTGATATGGGTGAAGTGATTATTCTAAGGGAAGGAGTGGCACAACACATTACTTTGGGATTTCTTTAGTTCCTAGACTTTTCTCCCTTACTATATGTGTGTAGCTAGGGTTCTAAAGTAGTCCTTTTTGTATGCTGTTTGATTATTCAGAAAAAGTAATCGATTATTCAGATGATTAATCAGGAAAAGTAGCCAATGATCAGGAGTCCTTTATGAAGTTTCAGGACTAAATTTTCCCTTGAAGATTGTTTAGCTATTGCTGACTTTAGAGTCTTTACCTTGTGACTGCCTACTGATTCCTGAGGTGGAGAACACAGACTGAACCGTGCTGTGTTCGGCTTGAGAGCCTTCTTCAGCTCTCTGACTTGCACTGATCCAAATCTAAAGGTTCACTTAGTTTTTTTTGGCTTCCGTGCATTCCACTTGGAATGCACAGAAATATGGCCTTCATATTTGCTGTCTGCTCCATTCCAAATGTCTTTATTCCTCAAAAGAAATGTTTCTTTCCTCAAATGAAATTGATACTTTAGCATTAGGGTTATATGTTACCCCTTCCAAGATGCTGTGTGATCCACTATAATCCCGAGACAATTTAAGTACTGCAGTCTGCTCTTTGCATTGTGATGAAGCTGTTCTCTTTCTGTCTTTTAGCTTCATTTTGGTGTGATTGACAAATGGAAATTGTGTACATCCAAGTTATACAACATGGTGTTATATGCCATGTAAAATGCTTGCTACAATCATGTTAGTTAATGTGTTCTATTACCTCACACATATAGCAAGCAAATACCTGAAAAGGTGCTCAGCATTACTAATCATCAGAAAAATGCAACTCAAAACCAAAATAATTGTTTCTTATCCCTCCTTATTTAGACACTTAGGCCCTTTGAAGACAGCTGTTTTATTCACGCTTGTACATAGTGATGAGCACAGATTAGGGATTTTAAATTCTTGGCAAATTGGGAGCTGGGAATTTAGCTCAGCGGCATAACCGCCTGCCTTGCAAGCATGCAGTCGCAAGTTCAATCCCCGGTACCGATAAAAAGAAAAAAGAAAAAAAACATTTTTGGCAAATTAATAAAAAATGTTGAAGGGCAGAAAAAACTAGACTAATACTAATTGTTATTATTAGGTAATTTAGGAGATGTGCCACAAAATCATGTTTATTAACACATTCTTTCAAGTTTGTCTCCTGGTGATAATTTTGTTATTCTGGACTTTTTCCATAATTATATAGCTTTACTATTACTTTTTTACCATAGGTGAAATATGCTTTTATAGGAAATATTAAAGTATAGAGAGAATCTCACTACTCAAAATCTAAATATCATTTAAAGCAATACTTGTTTGAAAGATACTTTGAAAGGCCAGGGATTTAGCTCAGTGGCATAAGCATCTGCCTGCCAAGTGCGAGGTCATGAGTTCAATCCCAGGCACCCCCCCCCCCAAGGAAAAAAAAACCTTTTAAATACAGTATAAGCTTAAATGTGTTCTACTCAATTTTCAGGTTCAGAATTTCACATGTAAAATAATTAACAAATAGCATTAGAGTACCAAGTTTAATATAATGAAGCCAATACTTTTTGTGTTTTGCCTTGCCAAGTAGCTTCCTATCTCAGGTAATGAGGTATGCCTTTTATGAACATAGCCATGCAAAGCCAGTGACCCACGCTGTAATCCCTGAGACAGGAGGGTCCTTACAAGTTTGAGACTAGCCTGGGTTACAAAGTGAGCTCAAGGCCAGCCTGAACTGCATATTGAGACCCCGCCTCAAAAAGGTGGGGGGAAAAAAAAGCCCTGCATTCTTAGCTTGGGATCTAATCTGTTAAATTACCATGTCATATCCTTCATTTAATATGTATGCATTTCTATGTGTTCTTATAAACCATTCTTTAGTAATGGAGCAGTGTAGGTTTGGAGACTAGAGCTAAGAACCTACAAGAAACAAACATCTATGAAAGCCAAGAATGTTTTTTCTGCCAAGCTTGGTTGTGCACAGCTATAATACCAGCAAAGGCAAAGTCAGGAGAATCACCTTGATTTCAGCCAGGGCTACATAGTAAACTCAAGGCCAATCTGAATCACATAGTAAGACCCGGTCTTGCTACACCCTATGTCTTTTTTTTTTCCGTCTTTTTGAGACAGGGTCTCACTATGCAGGTCAGGCTGGCTGTGAACACATTTTGTAGTCTAGGCTGGTCTCGAGCTTTCAGCAATCCTCCTGCCTCGGCCTCCTGAGTGCTGGGATTATAGGTATGTGCCACCATGCTTGGCTCACCCATGTCTTTTTAGGAAAAAACTTTCTTTTTTAAAGACAGGTTTGGGATTCTAGTACTTCTGTTTTGTTTTGTTTTTTCTCAGTGTGACCACACTGAATAATACATTTAATTCCATTCTCCACTCCCACTCCTCTCATCAAGGTTTATTTTACATTTGTTTGTTTTTTGAGATAGGGTCTCACTGTATAGTTCAGGCTGTCCTTGAAGTCTGTAACTTATGTTGGCCTTCAACTCAATGCAATCCTTCTACCTCAACATCATAAGTACTAGGATTACAGGTGTGCGTCACCATGCCTGGCTATAGAAGAAATGTGCTTTTTATATCAGTTTTCTTCTTGTATATTTTTTTGCTAAGTGTCCACTTCCATTTTGTGGACATATTCCTTTGTAGGGAATATGCAAGTGTATATTCTGTAAAGAGATTTTATCTAAAAAAAAACCTCAAATTATGTAACTGGGTGGATTGAGTGGATCAGTTTTTGGTACCCTATGACATCTGTAGTAGCAATAGATTTTGGCCATCAGTGTGCTGTGAGGATAGTAACAACTGTTGACTGTCTTTTATAGGTAACAAGTCTTTCTGTCTCCTCAGTTCCTGTAAGCACCCTTTTAAAATGCTGTTTGCTCCTAGGTCTTGCTTACTTTTTTATTTTAGATTACAGATTCTGCTGGCCATATTCTGTACTCCAAGGAGGATGCATCCAAGGGGAAGTTTGCCTTTACCACGGAAGATTATGACATGTTTGAAGTGTGTTTTGAGAGTAAAGGTAAGTACTGTAGTCCAAATGTTTTCTCTAGATTAATCCTCTGTTTTCCAGCTCTGTAATGTCCTGTGCTATAGTTAGCACTTGATTTCCAGTTTCATTTTGTTTTTTGTGTATTCTGTGTGGAGTCCTGATGCCTTGCAACCTTTGGAGTGTCTTTTAAAAGATCATCCAGGATGAAGTAGAGCACAGAGAATTTTTAGGGCAATGAAAATAGTCTGTGTGATACCATAATGGTGGATGCACATCACTGTGCATCTGCTCCAACAGACATTTGGGATGTACACTAATGTGAGCTATGTATGGGCTTGGGGGGTAATTGTGGACTGCTGTGGGTTTATCATTTTTGAGGGGGTTATCATTTATAACATGTACACCACTCTGGTGGAAGATGGTGACCATGACAAAAGCTGTGCATGTGTAGAGGTAAAAGGAACTAGGACATCTCTGTACCTACCTCTCCATTTTATTGTTAACCTGGAACTGCGCTAACAAAATTAAATCTGGTTTTTTAAAAAAAAAAAAAAAAGATTATCTACTTACTAGATAGATGCAGAAAATGATACTGTATTACTGGAAGGGTCTTTTTACAAAGGAGACCTGTTAAGGCCTTGATGTCAGCTAAGGGAACATGCTATGTAGTCTGAACTCAGACCAGCCAATGTTCTGTAGTTTAGTGGTTTCAGTTAGACTTAAAAAATGATAATACTGTGAACTGACATAGAGATAATCAAAAGACTGTTGTTAGGAAGAAAGAACTGATCATTTGACCAGGTAAGGCTGGGAGCTACTTAGGTTCCACAACTTATTTTTTAGATGAGTACACAAAAGACAAAATTTGTATTATATCTCTTTGGATAATGTCATAATCTGGATTACACTATGGATTTAGAAGAGATTATTCTAGTGCCATGTTTGGCTTGGCTTGGCGTGGTTTGTTTTGGTTTTGGAGACTTGTTTAATATTTGGGAGGTATCTGTGACTTATTTTAGTCTGTTCCTAATCTTACATATGTAGTTTTGTTTTTTGGGTTTTTTTTGCACCAGGGATAGAACTCATGACCGCACACTTGCCAGGCAGGCACTTACGCCGCTGAGCTAAATCCACGGCTACATATGTAGTCTTAATTCTCTTGCTTTAAATTTGACCTTTCTAGGTGGGAACAGTGTAATTCCAGTGGGAGGCTAAGGCAGGATGATCACAGCAAGTTCGAGACCAACATGAGGGAGACCCTAGGTTTGATCTTCAGTACCACCCCCAAATTTTTTATAATGCTTTGAATTTTCACTGTAACAGTTACGTGTATGCATGTCTTAAGTCTCATCAAATTATTTGAAGGGGGAGATTGTATGTTTTAAAAGACTCCAGCTCAGTTCTATTTTCCAGTGAGTTTCCAGTGAGTAGTTTTGTTTATTATGCGCTGGAAAGTGAACACAGAGCCTCACACTCACTGAACAAGTATTCTGCTGCTGAGCTACATCTCCAATACCTCTTCCTTACAAAAAAAAGTATATACATTTATTGACTGGATTGATGGATTGAGGCAGGGTCTCCCTAAATTGCTTTGGCTGGCCTTGAAACTTGCAATTTTCCTGCCTTAGCCTTTGGAGTAGCTGAGATTACAAGCCTGCACCACCAGGCCTGGCCTTCAATTAGTAGTTTCTGAGTTGAGTTTTGTCCATTTCAGAAAACAGTGATGTCTCTCAGGTAGCAGAGAGTACAGTATCATTCTCTGGATTATGTTTTCAAGAAACCCTGTGCTTACCTGATACTGTATTTCCCAAAACTTGTGATTTGGTGCAGATACTTTTTATCTTATAAATAAGTTAAATCCTCGGAATTGAAGCTGAGGGGTTTTCGGGGGCAAATTGAGTCTCTCTTTCTCCTACATAGTGATTTAAGACTAGAATTATTTTTGATCAAGCTGAATCAGATTAATTTTTCTAATATGAATGTTGCATTGCTGACTCTCTTATCCCAAATAGACATTTTTTCTGCCAGGTGTGGTGTACCCCTCTGTAATCCCAGTTCTAAGGAATCTGAGGCAGGAGGTTTGCCACATACGTATTGAGTTCAAGGCCAACTCTATCTCAGAACAAAACAAAACAAAAACTAAATAGACATTTTTCTAAGAAGCAGTCCTGAGAATTATACTGTTACCATAAAATTGTTTTCCTTGAGCTTTTTCAGTTTTATAAGTGTTTCATGGGAATAGCCCTATAAGATTTTGTTGGCCTTTGAAATAGGCCTTACATTGATCAAAATAATTGAATTAAAGTAGAATAATTGATAAAAGCTGTGTTTTTCCAGCACTCAGGTTTATGGTAAATAAAGCCAGTTTAGCCTCTACCCAGTAATCCTAACTGAGTTGCCTCTCAGTTGGACAGGAGCCACTCTTCAGATGTGGAAATGTACATTTTCACTTAGTTGGGCCTTGGAATTTTATTTCCCTGACCAGTGAGCCTGTCTGTTTCCTGCTTGATTCTCTGTCTCTGTAGCTGGTTACAACGTCTTATGTCCTGCCTGCTCAGAGATCCTTGGCAGCAGTATGTCCTTGCCGTTTTCTGGCACCCCACACAGATAGCGGCTTTGTCAGGAGTATTTATGATTTTAGCCAGAGCCAGGAATTTTCTGCAGCTGAGTAGGGGGAGGAGTTGTGGCTGTTTTCCCTCTATCAAGAAGATAGAGCTAGTGAAAGGAAGGGTGGGCGGATGATTTCCCGGAATGTTAAATATTCTACACAATGAATCTTTTGATTTCTTTCTCAGGCACGGGGCGGATACCTGACCAACTCGTGATCCTAGACATGAAACATGGAGTAGAGGCAAAAAATTATGAAGAGGTATGTGCTGCCCTGGTAGCAGGGGAGGCAGTGGCCACTCTTCTGTGTGAAATTTCTCTTCAGGCCACTGCCTGTGCTTTGCCCTGGAGACTGGGTTTCTCGTCAGTCACGTGACAACCAGCGATGATCTTACTGATACCGAAAGTTGTTATTAGCCTTGAACAGTAATTCTGGCTATGCTGTCAGCCAGCAGAGGACTGAACCAGCTGTCCTGTACAATTGTCTGTCAGCACATGCCTTCACTCTCTTTAAGGCAGAAACCAGATAGCAACAGTTACACTTTTTAAAAGCTGGGAATCTGTTATGTGTTAACAACCAAGTTAAGAAAGTGACTTGTTTTTAATTCCTAAGATTTTTTTCCCCCAGAACTGATAGCTTGCCATGGACTCAGATGCTGTTCAGTCCTCAGCAACTGTGATATCTTTGAGAAACAACAATATAAAAAAAAGCTTTTAATTAAAATAATTTCAGACTTTAAAGACAAGGACAGGATAGAGGAAGAAGCTGCAAGATACTGGCGATGGTGCTATTGAATAGAGATTGGATACTGATGGGGAGTACATGGAGTCATACATAATGTTACTGATTTCACTGACAGTGAAGTGGAGGAGTGCAGGTGCTAAGGAGAAGGGTATGCTAGGAATCTAACCCAGAGCTCACCTGTGTTAGAAAAATGCTTTCCAGTGAGCTGCAGCCTAGCCTGCGCATTTTTCACCTCTACAAGAGAGACTTGAGGACAGCACAGGATGGTTCTTCAAATAAAGAGCACCTTTGAAAACCCACAAGAACAATTGAATCAACGTTTACAAAAAGTTAAGTTTTTAATCCAGCCAACCAATATCTGAGGACATGAAAAAGAGATGGGGTACAGGAAATGCAAACTAGATAAATGAGGGAAAGTTGTTTTAAGTGATTGAGGAGAATTTTCTAGGAACAATGAAACGAGAGGTTGCTGTGTCTTTGGGGACTTTAGAAGCGAGTATTTTTCTAAAATGGAAGACGATTGGAAAGTGGTTATCTCTGCAATAGGAAGTAGTAATACAGTAGTTACTGCTCTTTGGGTCTTTCCTCTTTTTCCTGGTTCAAGTATTCAATCAAATGAAACCAAAGTATTGGGAGGTGATAAAAAGGAGCAAATAATAATAAATGAATGGAGGATGATTCCTGGTGGAGACTTTGAATTGCTTGAATCTCCAGGCCAGTTTAGTTAAAAGAAAGCAGGAGAGCATCTCTATTTGATAAATGTAAGGGTTTGAAGAATCTCTCTAAACCTTCATGATGCGAACAATCTTAATTATAGTCAAATAAGAAGATATATGTTAAGGTGTAAAACACTAAAAAAAGTTGTAGTTATGTGAGAAATGAGAATAAGTAAATGATTTTCTTTTTTTATTACTACCGCCATTCCCAACCATGAACCATTTTCTATGCAAGTATTCATTGTCCTACTGTGTAAGTTTTACCCACTGTAACTTTGTTGTCCAATGTGGTTGACTATTATTAAGGGATATTTATTAAATAACAGGCACCAATGCCCTGTTAGCCTTGAGACCTAGGTTTTGCTCTTGAAAACAGGGCTTTCCATAAAGAATAATGTGAACACCACTGCCATATCATATTTTAGACCCCTATACTTCCTGGAATTTTGGGCTTTGAGAAAGGGGCTTTATCTTTTTTTGACCTTCTGCTTAACCCCAGAGGGGAATCCCTAGCAGAAAGGAAACCACACTGCTTCCTTTGCCTGTTTCCTGCTTTGGATGTCTGGCACGTCCTAACCCTTTCTTTACGTACGTAGTTACAACACAGCTCCAAGGTTCTGCTTCTTAACCACCACAGACTGCTCCTCACAGCTTTCCTTAATGACCCCACTCCCAGCCCCCAAACACCATACCAGACTGAGGCAGAGGAGAACAGGCTGTGACACAGGCCAAAGAGAATCCTTTCTCAGTCTGAGACTGGACTCTTGAACCTTGGCTAATTGTCCCTGGCCTAATAATGGCTATGACAAGAACATGGGAGGCACTGTTTTCTCTGTTTAACTGCCAGAGAGTATCGTGCATATGTTGAGTTTTTAAGGCATTTAATTTTAGGCCCTTGAGATAATGGATTTATCCTCAAAGAATTTGGTCCCGTTGGCATCAGTATCGATTAAGATTTAGGAAGGAAAAACATTTAATTTCTTCATATCCAACACATCCGTCCCTCATACATGTGGACTCATAATCCTGAAATCACCTGTGGTCCTGTAAAATTCAGTAGTAATCAGTGTCTTAATATCTGGATGGAATACCACATTACCTATCTAAATGTTAGTTAGTTAACATGTGAAACTGCTATATAAACACAATACAAATGTGAGCTATTATTTGGAGGCTTTTTTTTTTTTTTTTTTTTTTTTTTTGATACCTGAAATTGAACTCAGAACTTTGCTCTTGCTAGGCAGGCGCTTATGATGCTGAGCTAATCCCTAGCCCAGAACTATTAATTGAAAGACAAAATGCTTGCCACATTACCCAGAAGCATAAAATCTTATACTTTGAATTCCTAAAGGAAGAACGATGTTTTTTGTTATTGTTGTTTAAAGTCCATTTTATTTAAGGATAAAAAGAAAAGGGAAAAAACAACAACATAATATCAAAACCCATCAATTGGGGCAACAATGGTACATACATTGCACGTTGTCATCCCCAAATCATTCACCCAGAGCACTAGGCATCTGCCTTCAATTGTCCAAACAATACCAGCACAAATCCTTTTCTCTTCAGCAAACTCAAAGAAATCAGTAGTATAACTATCTTAACTATTTTATATATGTATACCTACATATATTTATATACATATACATGTTTTTTCTGTCAGCTTGTCACACTGATGAAACAATAGGATATTTATACGTGTGTCTTATTTATTTCACTAATGAGTATGAGGAACAATGCTTATACCCTCAGAAATAAAACATTTTTAATTCTTCGTGTTATGTTGTAATATTTCTGACCATTTTCTTGCTGTTGCCCCTCAGAAGAGGGGCCTTCATCTTCCAGACTGAGTATGTGAATGAAGCCATTTTTTCTTACTTTGAGCACTGTGAACTGGAATAGCTTCAGTAGGGACTCACTGTGCATTTGGAAAATGGAGGCAGTGAGAGTTCCCTAAAAGAGCTCTCTGATACATCCTCTGACTCTTGAGCTGTGTGTGTCCCTTTTTGCTGTGGATGTTGGTCATCATTTTCATCATAAGTCCTATTGGTTTTTTGTTTTGATTTTTGTGGGTACCGGGAATCAAACTCAGGACCTCAGGCAGGTGCTGTACCACTGAGCTATATCCCTGGCTCCGTAAGTGCTGTTTTGTCTGGGGCGAGTAGCCAGTCATTTGCTGTCAACACATACACCAGAACACAGCACTGATTGGAGCCTTAGCTGAAGACTTCCCAAAAGTTCTTTTTTACCGAATGTCCCCCAAAAGGAGAAACTCTGCTTCTGTACACAAGATCTGGAATCCTTTTCTTGACATAAGTTGAGTGAAAGCACATGAGTAAGGCACCTAACACCTAGCTGGTCAGTCCAGTGATTTCAGCTTGTTTTCTTCTGCCCATTGTGAAAACTATCAAATGTCTATGACAGAATAAATAGGGTCTTTAAAAATTTCCTGTAGCCCTAGGCTTGGCAGTATTATCTGGACTTTTTGAGCTCTTGTGACTAGACCTATGATTCAAGTCTCCTTTGCTACCAGGAGCAAGTGAGTTTGTCCTTGACTGTCTTTCAGTTGTCTCTACTTTGTGTTAGACTAGGTGGTCTACATTTCTTGCCATGTTTGAAATTTGTGGAGGCTGTGGTGGAGAATATGGAGACAGTAAACTAATTTGATTAAATTTGGCTTGCTTTCAGAATCTTGCCATGTTTTTTGTTCATTTGCTTTTGTGGTAGGAGAGTGAATCCAGAGCCTTTGCACTGAACTACATCCCCAGCCCCCACCCCCACTCACCCCTTTTTTTTGGAGACAGGGTCTTGCTATATAATTCAGGCTGATCTTGAACTCACTATGTGGCTTAGGCCTAGAACTTATGATGGTTCTCCTGCCTCAGCCTCCCAGAGTGCTGGAATTAAAAGTATGTACAATCACGCCTGACCTCACGTGGATCTTGAGGCTCCACCAAGGAGAAGAATCTAATAGAGATTCTGTAGAAGCCAGATTCTCACTTGTGTTTTAGGAAGCAATTTTTTGGAGAGTTAATACCTTTCCTTGGTAGTTACATGTATGTCAGCTCTTTGAATCCAGATTATTAGAGTGGCAGACTTGGATATGGTTTAGGCAAACTGTGGGCTATTGGTAGTTTTGAGGCATTATACAGGGATTTTCTTTTTTTTTTTTTTGTCTTTTTCGTTGTTTTTATCGGTACCAGGGATCAAACTCATGACTGCCTGCTTGCAAGGCAGGCGCTTATGCCGCTGAGCTAAAACCCCAGCCCCTATGCAGGGCTTTTCTAAGCTGTTCTCACATGTGAGAGTTACAGGGATTGTGGTAAAGGGCTTTGTCCTGTGTAGTGGGCCTCATGCAGATGAGTGGTGAATGAAAATAAACATGGTGTGCTCTTTTTTTTTTTGTTTGTTTGTTTTATTTATTTAAGGAGAAAAGAAAAGAAAGAAAAAAAAACAGTGAAGGGGTACAAGTTATACAGATTTACAGAATAAAAAATGCGCAGTAGGAAATCACTAGTTAATGGATTACATATTGCCATCTTAGAAATAATTGTTCAAGTCACAAAATTAAAGCTTGTAGAGTGGACATTCCAACAATGGTACTGCAAACAGTTCTGTTCAATGATCCAATAAAACTCTGTGATGCTCTTAACATGCAAGAAGCACTTGCTTCAGGAGGCCAGCGGCACTTACTTAGAAGAAACTTGTCTTTGAAAACAATGGGAACAGGTCAGTTAAAATTTTAACAGTTTATTAATATAACAATGAATAATTGTTAATTGTGTGGCATAATCATAATGCTTT